TAGCCGGAGTACGCATCCATGAAACTCAACAACTCGTGCCCAGCAGTAGAGTCTACTAGTTGGTCAATTATTGGGAGTGGAAAGCTGTCTTTCGGGCAAGCTCTATTGAGGTTGGTGAAGTCGATGCATACCCTCCACTTGTCGTTGTGTTTCTATACCAAAATCGGATTGGAGACCCACTTCGGGTAGGTTGCCTCCCTGATGAAGCCATTTTGGATGAGCTTCTGAACTTCTTCCTTTAGGGCCTCATACCCTTCAGGATTGAGGGCTCTCCTTTTTTATCTATGTGGGGCAACCTTAGGATCGATTTTTAGGTGGTGCAGCTGACCTTGGGGTCTATGCCTACCATGTCCTCATGCTTCTAGGCAAAGATATCAAGATTCTTGCTCAGGAAATCCTTAATCTTTTCCTTCAGAATGTTGGATAGGCATTTGCCTACCTTCAGCACCTTTGATGGGTCTCGGGGGTCTATCAAAAAGCTCTCAAGTTCCTCTGCTGGGGATGCCTGAGGCTCGTGTTCCGTTATGCGGGGGTCAATCTCATCAATTACTTGCACCTCCGGATTAGGTGGAGCGTCGATCATATCAACATCTTCTTGTTTGGTGGGAGCATTACCTGGGACATCAGCCATGACCACGTCAGCTATGATTACATGGACGTCCCGGGGCTCTACCTTCTTGATGGAGCTTAGATAGCACTCTCTTGAGCCTCTTTGGTCGCCTCTCACCTTTGCCACCCCATTGTCCGTTTGAAATTTCATGCATAGGTGGTGGATGGAGGTGACTGCTCCCAATTCCTTCAGGGCTGGCCTCCCTAAAACTCTGTGGTAAGCCGACTGGCTGTCGACAATGAGGAACTCTATGAAGTTCATCGTTGTTCATGGGGATTCTCCCATCTCCACTACAAGTGTTATCTTTCCCCTCGGAGTGATGCTATCTCCAGTAAATCCGTACAATGGAGTGGTGGTGGGCGTTAGCTGATGATCCAATATCATTTTGTCAAAGGTGGATCCGAATAGAATGTTGACAGAGCTGCCGTTGTCAACTAACATTCGTTGAGCCCATTCCTAGCTATAACAGCCCTCACCACAAGTGCATCGTAATGGGGGTAATGAACTCCCTCGACGTCTTCCTGGGTAAAGACAATGGGTGGAACTTGGTTTCTTCGGGACCTGCTACCCACAATGTAGCTTGTCAAAGGGGGGTGTTTAGCCTCCCGAGCATAATTCCTTTTGGCGTTTCGTGTTTCACCGCCAACATATGGACCTCCAAATATGGTATCCACCTCGTGGATAGGGGCTTCATCTTGAGCCTGCCGATTTCTTCGGTGCCTACCCCCTTCCCTGGGCCTCTCTACATCATGCTCCCTTCGTCGTGGAGATACATCCCTTTGACGGGGAGCGGCCTCCTCACACTCACGTCGGTTGTCGTGCCTGGGCGGGGGCCTGTTCGCCTGGGGCGAATCATGTCTATCTCTAACGGGTTCTTGTCGGGAATGTTGTGCATAGTCTCTACAATCCACTATGTCATGCCCGTAGGACCTGTGGTGTACACAGTATCCTAGGGGGTTCGAATTTGGCCTATTTCTAGGTCCAGAACCTCGACCTCGACCTCGACCTCGGCCTCTCCCCCGACGGGGTATCTCCTGGGCCTCTATCTGATGGGGGTTAGTAATTGGGTTGACATCTTCATATGCCAAGGTGGGAACCGCATTCAAAGTGGTGATAGAAAGTGCTTGACCAGAGTTCTCATTTCCAGCCTGGTTCATTTGGTAGCCCATCAGGTGGGAGGTCGGTCCTCTATCGCGCTGTTTTTGAGGAGGTGGGAGGCCTCTATTTGCCTTGTTCCTATGCTCAATCAATTCTTCATTGATGATCTCCCTTCTCATCATTTCAAGTAGGGCGTCATAGGTGGTGGGGTCTTGATTCTACACGTCTCTCCAGAATAAGGTATTCATGTTCAGACCTCTCCTCAATGCGGATAGTGCCTCTCGGTCAGTAACTTGTACGCATTATGTCATCTCATCGGTGAAGCGTGATAAGAAGCTCTTTAGGGACTCTCCATGTGCTTGCCTCATGTCCTGGAGACGTTGGATGGGGGCCTCTCCTTCTTTGCTCACTGCGAACCTCTTCAAGAATGTTGTCTTGAACTCGGGCCAGGTTCTAATGCTCCCAGGTGGCAATCTGCTATACCAAATTTTAGTCGCTCCACTAAGCGTTAAATGGAAGGCTCTACACTTCACGGCTGGGGTGGCGCTCCTTAGGCTCATTTGAGTTTTATAAGCATTTAGGTGCTTCTCCGGGTCGCCTCTTCCGTCATACTTTGGTATTTTTGGCATAACATAGTGGCTCAGGACCTAGGCATTCCTTAGTTCTGTTGAGAATGGCAGATTCTCATCGTCATCGTCCAAGTCGCAGGACCTCTGCTGTTCATCAGAGTCGTACTCATCAACCTCATACCCTGGTTGTTGGTGAGAGGTTTCGGGGTGATCCCTAGCCTCTTTCTCCCTCCTCTGTTGCCTATTTCTAGGCAGAGCAACATGGGAGGCATTTTCATACCTTTTCTCCGCCTGCTGGGGCATTGGAGGTGGAGGAGGCAACCTTGTCCAAGGCTGTTGAGCCTGCTATTGCCTGAGCCTCGGTTCGATGGGGCTGATTTTGTCAAAAATACTTCCTGCCCTCCTATGCCTTGGATCTTACTCATACGGAGGTGAAAAATTATCATGGCTCATTTGGACCTCGGTGGGTCGGCCAGAAGTGTAGTTGGAAGAAACATCAACTTCCACTTCCCTTTCAAATGGGCTTCCACCTCGGCCATAGTCTGGCGAGGCAGTTCTATGACTTTGAACTTTATCCTCTTGCTGGTAGTGCCCTTGGGGGGCATATGGAGGAATGGGGAAGCCTCCCTGGCCCTGTATTTGGGCCATAAGCTCCCTCATAGCCAACTTTTGGCTAGCAATATCCCTCATGTTGGCAGCCATGGCGACCATTTCTCTTGATAGTCGTGCTATCACACGCATCCCACCTCTTCTTTGGTGGTGGTGGAGTCTTTGCTGAGCTTCTAGGGCAGCGAGCTGAGGAGGCACGTTCGTGTTTTCTCTTACCCTCCTGGGGGAGTATCTTCATTGGAGCTCATTTTCTTTTGTCAGACTTCAGATTTCACTAAGTAATGGGGCTTCCTCCTGTTGTTTTCCAAGAACAAATCCTTTTTCAAGGGGGGTTGCCCAAATGTCCTTTCAATAAGCTTTTACCACAAGGTTGCTCATGGTTATGGTATGGTTTCCCACAGACGGCGCCAATCTGTTGACCCTAAAAAGTGTTGCCAATAGACGTCGATCCCACCCGTACACACGTGGGCGAATGTCTAACACGCTATGACACGTTGACGGTCTACAACGAGCGATTCAAAGGGCGTGGGAGTAGCCCAACGATACGGGATGGTGACGTTCGAAATCCGACGGGTTGTTCGTGATCCGATTGTACAATAATTACCAATCGGTGTTCGTAAATGTATATGTAAATATGTGTAAACTCGATTTGTGTATTGCAAGTAAATGAGAGAGAGAGAGAGTTGAGTAAAGTGTAGTTCTTTGTATTGATTCTTGCATTAGTCCTTTAATGTTACACAAGGGAAGTATTTATAGTGATACATATGAAATGGGAGCCCTTGGATGAGGTGGCACGTGGCTTCATCTCTTTGATTCAAACATCTTATCCTAGGCAGGGGGCTTGACTTGCTAGCTTGCTGCTCATTTATTGCTTGTGCAGAGCCTCCATGCTAGTGACAAGACTTGACCTTTATGCTTATGACAAACGTTCTATCAATCATTCGAATGAGATCTTTGTATAGACGATCTCTTGGGAGAAGTGACCATGGAGAACGCTCCCATGTGGTTCAGAGGC